AGGGCAAAAACGAAACATTTTTGAATGCTAATATGCATTATTGTGGAAAAATAAAACAAAAACAGTAGAACAATAGAACAATATAATGTAAATAATATGAACTATTGTGGAGGAACAATAGGAAAGACAAAAGCATCACTGCTGGTCCCTTAGAAAAATCCCGACTTTTCAAGAGGATAAACAGAGGTGTGCTATTGTGGCAAAAAGGGCAAAAACGAAACATTTTTGAATGCTAATATGCATTATTGTGGAAAAATAAAACAAAAAAAGTAAAAAAAATATGAACAAAAACTTTCAAGAAAAAAGAGGTGTGCTATTGTGGCAAAAGGGCAAAAACGAAACATTTTTGAATGCTAAAATAAAACAAAAACAGTAGAACAATATAATGTAAATAATATGAACTATTGTGGAGGAACAATAGGAAAGACAAAAGCATCACTGCTGGTCCCTTAGAAAAATCCCGACTTTTCAAGAGGATAAACAGAGGTGTGCTATTGTGGCAAAAAGGGCAAAAACGAAACATTTTTGAATGCTAATATGCATTATTGTGGAAAAATAAACAAAAAACAAAAACAGTAGAACAATATAATGTAAATAATATGAACTATTGTGGAGGAACAATAGGAAAGACAAAAGCATCACTGCTGGTCCCTTAGAAAAATCCCGACTTTTCAAGAGGATAAACAGAGGTGTGCTATGTGTGCTATTGTGGCAAAAAGGGCAAAAACGAAACATTTTTGAATGCTAATATGCATTATTGTGGAAAAATAAAACAAAAAACAGTAGAACAATATAATGTAAATAATATGAACTATTGTGGAGGAACAATAGGAAAGACAAAAGCATCACTGCTGGTCCCTTAGAAAAATCCCGACTTTTCAAGAGGATAAACAGAGGTGTGCTATTGTGGCAAAAAGGGCAAAAACGAAACATTTTTGAATGCTAATATGCATTATTGTGGAAAAATAAAACAAAAACAGTAGAACAATATAATGTAAATAATATGAACTATTGTGGAGGAACAATAGGAAAGACAAAAGCATCACTGCTGGTCCCTTAGAAAAACAGAAAAATCCCGACTTTTCAAGAGGATAAACAGAGGTGTGCTATTGTGGCAAAAAGGGCAAAAACGAAACATTTTTGAATGCTAATATGCATTATTGTGGAAAAATAAAACAAAAACAGTAGAAAAAAAAATAGAATATAATGTAAATAATATGAACTATTGTGGAGGAACAATAGGAAAGACAAAAGCATCACTGCTGGTCCCTTAGAAAAATCCCGACTTTTCAAGAGGATAAACAGAGGTGTGCTATTGTGGCAAAAAGGGCAAAAACGAAACATTTTTGAATGCTAATATGCATTATTGTGGAAAAAAAAAAAATAAAACAAAAACAGTAGTAGAACAATATAATGTAAATAATATGAACTATTGTGGAGGAACAATAGGAAAGAAAGACAAAAGCATCACTGCTGGTCCCTTAGAAAAATCCCGACTTTTCAAGAGGATAAACAGAGGTGTGCTATTGTGGCAAAAAGGGCAAAAAACGAAACATTTTTGAATGCTAATATGCATTATTGTGGAAAAATAAAACAAAAAAACAGTAGAACAATATAATGTAAATAATATGAACTATTGTGGAGGAACAATAGGAAAGACAAAAGCATCACTGCTGGTCCCTTAGAAAAATCCCGACTTTTCAAGAGGATAAACAGAGGTGTGCTATTGTGGCAAAAAGGGCAAAAACGAAACATTTTTGAATGCTAATATGCATTATTGTGGAAAAATAAAACAAAAAACAGTAGAACAATATAATGTAAATAATATGAACTATTGTGGAGGAACAATAGGAAAGACAAAAGCATCACTGCTGGTCCCTTAGAAAAATCCCGACTTTTCAAGAGGATAAACAGAGGTGTGCTATTGTGGCAAAAAGGGCAAAAACGAAACATTTTTGAATGCTAATATGCATTATTGTGGAAAAATAAAACAAAAACAGTAGAACAATATAATGTAAATAATATGAACTATTGTGGAGGAACAATAGGAAAGACAAAAGCATCACTGCTGGTCCCTTAGAAAAATCCCGACTTTTCAAGAGGATAAACAGAGGTGTGCTATTGTGGCAAAAAGGGCAAAAACGAAACATTTTTGAATGCTAATATGCATTATTGTGGAAAAATAAAAAAAAAAAACAGTAGTAGAACAATATAATGTAAATAATATGAACTATTGTGGAGGAACAATAGGAAAGACAAAAGCATCACTGCTGGTCCCTTAGAAAAATCCCGACTTTTCAAGAGGATAAACAGAGGTGTGCTATTGTGGCAAAAAGGGCAAAAACGAAACATTTTTGAATGCTAATATGCATTATTGTGGAAAAATAAAACAAAAAACAGTAGAACAATATAATGTAAATAATATGAACTATTGTGGAGGAACAATAGGAAAGACAAAAGCATCACTGCTGGTCCCTTAGAAAAATCCCGACTTTTCAAGAGGATAAACAGAGGTGTGCTATTGTGGCAAAAAGGGCAAAAACGAAACATTTTTGAATGCTAATATGCATTATTGTGGAAAAATAAAAAAATAAAACAAAAACAGTAGAACAATATAATGTAAATAATATGAACTATTGTGGAGGAACAATAGGAAAGACAAAAGCATCACTGCTGGTCCCTTAGAAAAATCCCGACTTTTCAAGAGGATAAACAGAGGTGTGCTATTGTGGCAAAAAGGGCAAAAACGAAACATTTTTGAATGCTAATATGCATTATTGTGGAAAAATAAAACAAAAACAGTAGTAGAACAATATAATGTAAATAATATGAACTATTGTGGAGGAACAATAGGAAAGGAAAGACAAAAGCATCACTGCTGGTCCCTTAGAAAAATCCCGACTTTTCAAGAGGAAGAGGATAAACAGAGGGTGTGCTATTGTGGCAAAAAGGGCAAAAACGAAACATTTTTGAATGCTAATATGCATTATTGTGGAAAAATAAAACAAAAACAGTAGAACAATATAATGTAGAACAATATAATGTAAATAATATGAACTATTGTGGAGGAACAATAGGAAAGACAAAAGCATCACTGCTGGTCCCTTAGAAAAATCCCGACTTTTCAAGAGGATAAACAGAGGTGTGCTATTGTGGCAAAAAGGGCAAAAACGAAAAACATTTTTGAATGCTAATATGCATTATTGTGGAAAAATAAAACAAAAAAACAGTAGAACAATATAATGTAAATAATATGAACTATTGTGGAGGAACAATAGGAAAGACAAAAGCATCACTGCTGGTCCCTTAGAAAAATCCCGACTTTTCAAGAGGATAAACAGAGGTGTGCTATTGTGGCAAAAAGGGCAAAAACGAAAACGAAACATTTTTGAATGCTAATATGCATTATTGTGGAAAAATAAAACAAAAACAGTAGTAGAACAATATAATGTAAATAATATGAACTATTGTGGAGGAACAATAGGAAAGACAAAAGCATCAGCTGGCCCAGAAATCCGACTTTAAGAGAAAAAGGTGGGATTGTAGAAAAGTACATTAACAATATGATCAATAGAAAGTTGGTGTTGAGGACAAAAATTTATAGAGAATCTAAACAGTAGTCAGAGAGGCATGGCAATCCACCATGATGTACCATTGAAGAAATTAATGAGAGACTGGAAGGAGGGAATATATTAACAAACATAACAGGCATTGGTTGGAGATGAAGCTTAGACTTTTAAATAAGTTGGCCGAAAGAGAATAAATTAAGTATGTAATTAGAATAAAGATTAATGTGTAATAAAAATACTACCTAAGGTGCAGTAATGCTGCAACAGGCAGTTTTCTATTGAGAGCTTCTGTAACATTGTAGTCTATGAGTGGAATAGATTTATTGTTATTAAGACTAATCTTACTGGAATTTTTTTAGCTATTCTTGCTATGAATGCATAGATGACTTCAACATTTAGTTCATCTTGAATAGCAGAGTTTTTAATAAACTACCTGCTTTTGGTTATTTGTCTAAATGTGACAATATGAAGAGTCTGTAGTCTTTTAAACTGAGTGTCACTAATAATCCCCTGGGTGGGACAGGTGTAGGTGGTGATAGGCCATAACATGTTTTTATACAGGAGTAACTTATTATCAAGAGACAGAATGGAGTTTCAGAAAATTAAAGGGCAGAGTGAAATTTTTAGAAGCCAGGAACTTGTTGGTAATATATGTAATGTGGGGGATCTATGAACGTCTTTGGTCTAATATTTTACTTGCTTGGTCCATGGGATAATTGGTATTGTACATATTGATGATATGATATATTGATATTTCTTTTTTTGGTGAAGAGAACTGCTTCACACTTTCCTACATTAATTTTTATTTTCCATTTGATGAGGCAAGACTCAAGTGTATGTATATGTTCTTGTAGTGACTGTGTAACAACACAGAGCTGCATTTTGTGCTAGGATCACAGTATTGTCTGCATATATTGCTAGTATAGTGTTAAATGATTGTGAAATATGGATGCAAATAATTATATCTGCTTCTTCACATATTTTTTATTTTGTATTGATGATAATTTCTTTTAAGTAAGTTACATTTTTAGGCATTGATATATCTGCCATATCTACTTAGTAATTTATGGTCAAACCATCTTAGAGAGAAATTGTTTTATGATTATGTCATATTATTAGAGAATTTTTCATAATTCTCAAAATAGAAAAGTATGGTGTTCGAAATGTTATTTTATATGAGTTTGCATGTAGATTATTATTAAGATCTTTACCAAAAGTTAAATTTTTAATTATTTTTTGCTAATTATCTATTCAGATTTTTAAGTTAAGGCCAGGCTTATTTATTATTTGTTAACATTAAACAAAAGAGTTTAATCTGTAATAAATATTTAATGTAAAAGTGAAGCATGTACTGATAATTTAAAATGCTGGAAAATATGTATTGTGCAATTATTTTATTTAAGAAAATTTTATTTTAAAATGCTATGAGCTATATATAATATGAGGTTGAATTTGTAAAATAGATATTTTCAAGAGATGAACTAATGATGATAGCTGAATTATGCCAAAAACATGATGTCATTGCTCTCATGGATGAAGTTTACGAATGGATAGTGTATAAGGGAAATGAACATATAAGAATGGGTAACAATTGCTATTTTGTTATATAGTATATATGGCAATTTTTACTTTAATATAGCATTACAATGCACATCTGAGAGCAGATATGCTTAAAACTTTCATGGGTAATATAAAGCAATCAATTATTAATGCTATTGCAATCTTATTATTATTATTATTATTATTTCTTGTAAGAATGTAGTAACAGGCTGTTTTATTGGCATATTGCTTACTTTATTATTTATGTTACTTTACAAAGTAAGTAGTTTTTAGCAAATTTTGGTTGCATTTTCAGAAAGAAACTTGGATTCTTTTCAGATTTTAGCATTTTAAGATTGGCCATTAGAAGAGTAGTTGAGATTACTGAATATGGATTTTTACATCTAGTTTTTAATTTTTCATTGAAAACATTTTGGCTACAGAAGCTTTTTTTTTTTTTTTTTTTTTCTCCACTTCATTGTGTTTTCAATTTAACCCCTTAACGCATTTGCCCGTGTCTCACACGGGCGAAAGTTCCGGCAAATTAGCACATGCCCGTTCTCCACATGGCGCCCTTGTATCTCGCGTTATTTTTTCTAATGCTTGTCTGAGATCCTTCCGTAAAAATAATAGGCTAGATTATAATTAACTTATTTTGACTAGATGGCACCACGATTCAGCATTTTCTTGTGTAACCACGGCACATTTTGATGATTAGCTATAAGTTTGCTAGAATTCTTTGCTATAAAGAGCGGTTGGTGTGGAAAGGTAATATATTCATTTTTATTACTAAATATAAAAAGTAAGCAGTTAACTGCAAATTATATTACTAAGTGTTTTTGTAATTAAAAAAAGTTTCTGATGAGCGACTCTGACAGACAATTTTGAATATGCCAATTTATCAGACTTTTTCGCGATAGTGATGATTTCGAGTATGGAGTGAATCGGAAGATCTGACAGCCGATTTGGATTAGCAGATGGGATCAAATTAGTATTCAACCAAATTGCACCCGATTTCGTTTGAAGCTTACCCTGGCATGATTATGCAAGAAAAAAAATAGGTGATTTTTTGACCGAAAATTAGAAATTAATGTGTGCCTTAAGGGGTTAAATATAAATCGATCTACTGTGAGAGGTCCATCATGAAAATATTTCTTAAGATATATAGCTACTGTATGGTTTTTTGTAACATATCGCCTATCTTTCTATTATTTACTTCATTAGTGATACCAATCTAAATGATATGTTAGTTAGTATATGTGCAGCTGGACCTGAAAACAAATCCTCAACAAAGTATGTGTACTTATATATGCATATATGTGGAATGAGACTCTTAAAATTTCTAAATTCAGTTGCCTTAAAATTTGTAAATTTGTAAATTCAGGTTAGTAATAGAGGCAGAAGATGACACAGCATTTAAATTGCATTTGCTGAGATATATAATTTAAATTGCATTTGCTGAGATATACCATTCTTGGTTATAACTAGAAAGCAGATTCCACTGATAGCTATCAGGCATTTTGCGTAAATGTCAATACAAATAAATGTATGTCAGAAATTAGCATTAGACAGATAGAACGATTCTTTATTTCAAATAAAGAATAATCCCAAAAACAATTTTTTTGCCATTAATGCAGAATAAATAAGATCACTGAATGCTGGTTTGAGCAAGGTTTCGATCCCAGGAAATGGGTTTACTACATGGGTTTTCCCATGTGTTATGTGAATATAAGGAAATTTCTTTAGAATGCTTACAAGAAGGCATCAGGTCCACCAGCAGTAAGTTGCTGAACACTGATAGTTCATCCCAGGTTCAAATCCCATTAAATGGACTTGTTACATGAGGTGTTCATGCTTTTTCTTATTGCAATGTGGATACAAACCAATTTCTTTTAAAAAGTCCTTCACAAAAGCATCTCTGCCCATAGGCAAATAACCCCCAAGTTCTTTTCCTTAATGAAATAACATCTAAGATGACAATTTTTCCCTCTTAGGCAATTAACTGACAAATCACACCGGCATGGGATATTATATATTCTCTAAAAATTGCTATACAAACAAGAATATTATATATTCTCTAAAAATTGCTATACAAGCATGTTGTGCATATACAAGCAAACTAGCCATAAATTATTATGTATTTGGCTATACCAGCAAACTAACCATAAATGCTGGGTATTTAAAATCTTATGGCCATTTTTTTCCAATATTAAAATTGTAATCTGATGGTATCAATAGTTCAGTAATAATTCAGTGGTAGATTTTTTTCGTAGTACTATATTTTCATTACAGTTAAATTAAGAGCTTTCAGCTCTATCTTATTTATGTGGAAAATTCTAACCCCAAACTTACATATAGGTACTTACAAACTTATACATATGTAAAAATGATGTAATGATATCATATTTGTCTTTATTAATAGCTACACTACCTGGCATGTGGGAACGAACCTTAACTGTTGGAAGTGCTGGGAAAACATTTAGTGTTACTGGTTGGAAGGTAAGTCAAAAATTAAATGCATTTTTATTGAAGATGTTTATTCGATTTTACAGTAACTGTGTTATCAAGTTTGTATGGGTTTATTTTAAGTTTCTAATAGCTATTTTTATTTTAGAACGAGACTTTCCTTTACTTCCTCGTTTCTCACCTATGATTCCCTACCAAAATAAGTTTTCAGAATTATGTTTTATGTAAAGGAGATAGAAACAAGTATTTAAGTTGGAGTCTTGAGTTATTTCACTAGATGAGCCTAGGAGAGTGTGTTCTGCCTTCTAGCCATGTCTAAGTCTTACGACTATTCGGCCATATTGTTACAGCTATATTGAGTTAAAGCCCAAGTGGAGGCTTTGTATAAGCCTAAAAAGGGGCTGTCTGTGTATCTATTTTGAGTTGGAATAAAGAGTAAATTTAATCCTTCTTTGGAAGAAAAGAGACTAGAACTCTGCTCTAAGTCGCTACACAGTTCTTCAATATTCTAGCCCTCAAGGACTTCCAGATTATCTAGGACATTACAAGTTTTAAAATGCTAATAACTTATTGGTAGAATTAGGAAATACAGAATGCAAATGTGGATACATATTTGATTAATTATTAAATAAGATATGTATGTGTAGTATATCATATTCTCTTACTGTATTTATTTATTATAAATAAAAGAAATAGTATAAAAATATGAAGCTGATATGATCAGTATGCTAAATACTACATTCTAAGATTAAGTTATATGTTAAAAAAGAAATATGATTGTAAATGTAATTTTGTATTAGTAAAAAGTAATATAGTAAATATAGATGTAAAATTATCGTTAGTAATTTTACAAATAGCTAACTAAGCTAATAACCCTCACTAATAGGAAGCAAGATACATTTGCTACTTATAGTGGTGTAGTGTGTAATTTGCTTGAATGTGATGGTAGTCTGTAATTAGCTCTCTGGCAGTGTAGGTTGTTGGCTTAATATATACAGAGAGAAAACAGTAAGTGAAAATATAACAAAGCTAATACATTTGCGTCTTATAGTGAGGTATTAATGTGTAATTTGCTTGATAGTGATGGTAGTCTGTAGTTAGCTCTCTGGCAGTGCAGGTTGTTGGCTTAATGAGCATTAAAAAGTCTTGTTTTAATGCTAATTAAGCTGCATGAAAAAAAAAATCATCATATTTCCTCATTTATTCTCCCCCCTAGCTTTTTAGTGCCAGATTCTGAAAATTAAAAAATATATTTGTGTAATTTTTCCCTTCCCCAATGCTTTCAGAGAATGAACTGTCCTAAATTTTAAAATGATTCACCCACATAGTGATCGTTTTCATTTTACTAAAAAAAAAAAAAACCTCACAAACTGCATGTGAAAATCACACCGAGCCTTTCCCATCTAACTATTGAACTTCATGCCAACCTAATGCAAAAACCAACTCAAAGCACAATGAAGCAATATTCAGTCCATGATTTTTCTGAGTTGGCTGCACGTTCACCTTCTCTAATTATTTATGGATCATTTGAGGCCTAAGTAGTAGCAGATTGGGCTACTACTTAGGCCTCAAACCAACAATGGGCAAGATTCAAGCTACAGGGAAATAAAAATGAAGATATCTTATTAGATATTTTAATATCAATATTACTATTTATTCTTTTTGAAATGTAGGTTTCTTTTAAAGAACTAATATTGTACCTGCAAGTTTGTTTATGACTGCTTTTCAGTTGTTTTGTTCTTACTGTAACTACGTTCTTCGGAAATTAAATTATTCACAAAATTTTAATCTCTTGATTTTCAGATTATAAAATTAGTAAAAAAAGGGGGGAATAGTCAAGAAAATATGTTATATATAAATCGAGGCATGCTTCGAAAGCAGAAAAAGAAAGTATTAAATAAAATTAATTGTTATCATCCAGAGACAGTGTGACAAATGATTAAACTGTGTAAATGTAATAATAGAAAGACTAATTAGAAATAAACTGTAGTTTTATGAAAAATCTGAAGTGAACTTGTAAAGCTGTGTGAACTTTTTAAGGAAACTGCAGTTGTGTGAAAGGTGAAGTAAAAAGCCAATACTACGTAATAGTAAAACTAGTACAGTCTACAAATTCCTCATTAGTCCCTATAAAAGTTGAAGAAACATGATAATAATAAACATAAAATGTAAAATGAACACAAATAGTGAACAAAGAAGAAACAGATAATAATAAACATAAAATGTAAAATGAACACAAATAGTGAACAAAGAAATTATGTGTATGTCTTGTCAGGAAAAAAATGAATACACATCTTCTTACGAGCTGCAAAACTGCAACTTTTTTATTATTGAAAAAGTACAGCTGTGAGATTAGAAATCTTTAAAACTGTAGAAGTAAACTCTTTTTGGGTGCTTTTGTTTTATTTTAAAATTCGACACTGGAAAGATGTTAAGAACTTAAAATCAGGTTTGTGCTGTTCTTGCATCCACATTTGTACAGGATTAACAGTTAATCAATACTTCTATAAAATATTTTCATGATCACTAATTTTTTGGTTTGAAGTTTTGTACCTTCTATTTTATGGCCTTAAAATTTTTCTGCCACTTATTTTAACTCCTTTCCTGTAATCATTTTGTATATTTATAATATAAAAATGAGTTAGTTTTATATAGAAAATCCATATTTTAAAGACTGTCAAGCATCACAATGATTGAATTCTGATCAATTTAAATTGTGAATGAAATAAATGACATAGAATAATATCTAAGAGGTATGCTAGGGCTAAAATGCCAACTATTCGATTGTACAAGTTAAAAGAGCCAGGAAATTTTATATGCTATTAATTGATATAAAAACCTTTTATAGGAAAAAAAATCTTATAATTTATATCCGATATCTTCTTGAAGTGTTAATATCTTTATCATCTTTCCTGTAGTAATGTTATTAATATTTAAAAGTTTGATTCAAAAATGTAAGTAAAAATTTTATTTCCATTAGCTGGGTTGGGTATATGGACCAGAATGCTTGATAAAATGTCCACAACTTCTTTTTGCAAACTTCCAAAGAGCATGCGCAACACCAATCCAGGTAATTATTATTAAAATTATTCTAATAATCTTGAAATTCTTTTCAGATTGGCTGGGCTTATGGGCCACAACATTTGATACATCCTTTGCAGCTCCTTCATCAGAATTGCGTTTACACTTGTCCAACTCCTATTCAAGTATGATTTTATTTATTTTTAAGCTTTGGGAAGTGGATCTTTGTAGTAATATTTTATTGAACTCATAAAAGGAATTTAATGGATTACATCATTTAAATTTCTAAATTAGTACTTGCTATAAAGGAAAAAAATAACTAAAAAAATATTAATATGGTAGGAAAATAGTACAAGTAATGGATAATTTTTAAGTTCATTTGTTACTAATTGCTATGAATATAAATAAAATCTATAGCGTTTTTATCACTGTTTAAAGAGGATGATGCCAAATGTATCTCTTGAAACATAAGTAATTCCTCCCATTTCAGGAGGGTATATTTTTCATTCTCTTTCATTAAATTGCATCTATTAGAACATCTTCTAAATCTGGGAATATCACTTTGCTATGATATTTTCATTGCATGCACAAAATGTGTTTAATTACTACTGCAATGTATTTTTATAATGATCTATTTGGTTGTATATTTAAAATAAATTTTTTGTTTTGCTTATAGATTCAAATGTTTAGGTGGTGTTTAATGTAATTAATATAGAAAAGTGTTAAAAATATAAAAAAGGAAAAAATATGCATCTTTTATTAATATTATTACTCAACTAAAATGATTCAGTTTTATATTAATATTATTAATATTTTTATTAAATAAATTCAGCTGTTAACATTTTTATTAATAAAAGCCTATTCTGATTTATGTAACACTGAACCATTTTAATGAAGTATTTAATGTTTCCACATTCATCATTCTAAAACATTTTCATATCAACTAAGTAGCTGAGTTAATCTAAGAAAATTTAACATCTGTGTTAGTTCACAAATGGATTCTTAAATTTGCATGAGGTTAAATTTTGTTATATAAATTTTGTTTGCAATACTTTATTTGTTTTTGCCTACTGTTATTCGTTATAAGGAAAAGGCAGATGTGTTTGGTACTTCTTCCTAGATTATTTGCATTATAGATAAATTTGTTTAGATATAATCTGCATTAAACCTTTGTTTCTGTAATAGTTCTTCAGAATTTTATAAAAAGATTATTTCTGGTTTTATTTGTATATGTAACATATTTCTGTTTCGTTCAAATAAAGCTTCTTCCTTTTGAATATAAATGTAAACAAAAGGGGAAAACATTATTTTAAATTTTTTGACATGTAGTCACATCAATTTAGACATTATGCAATGATTGGCATGTTTTGTTGGTCATCAAATGCAATAAAAGCATTCAGGTATTTTATTTTGAAAATTAGTAATATTTGATAAAATTTCCATGTGGTGGTTGTAAAGTATTGCAAGTAATATTATTAAAATAAAAATGTTACAAAAGCACTGTAGTTATAATGTTCTGTTTGTAAATTTGAGTAAAGAGCTTTATGCAGAATCTAGTTAAGTATGAAGGAAATAAAAATTATTCTGATAGAGTGAAGTGTATTTACAATGTATGAGCAGATAGGAAGATAAAGATATCATTTATCCTGGCATTTTACAAGAAAATAAAGCTTAGAAGTTGCTTCATATGTGACTTATAATAGATGGCTAGCAAAATTTAATAAAATAACACTTCAATAAATAAAAAATTTTATAATTCTTATTATATAAAGATATTCAGATTTTTTTTTTAATGTTAAATTAATTCTGGAATTTCAGGGCAAAGTATTGGCATTGACAATGTGAATTTTTCTTCCTGTATTACAGAAATATTTTATTATATAGTAAAAAAGTAACTTAATCAATTCAAGAACATTTTTAGATTTCTTATTGAATATATTTTAGGACAGTAGCCAGTCTGAATTCAAAAATAGTCAACTTCTTGATATGGAAACATTGGTTTTAAAAATTAATTTACTATTGGCTAAAATAGTATGCATAAAGTTCTGTATAAAATTCCCTGAAATATCTTTAAAAATATTGAAATCTTAGGTTAAACTTTATCCTCCTTTTTATCTTAAAAAAAAAAAAAAAGAAAGAAAAAAGTCTCACAGCAATGTAAATATTAATCCCCATAATGTTTCTAATTAATCCAATAATGTTTCTGTGGTGTTGTGTGTAAAACACTATTTAGCTAGATAATTGCAAGAATCAAATTAAAGTGCATGTGCCCAATACTTACTGGCCTGAAAAACGATATGTCGTATATTGCATTGTAACCCTAAAATAGAGAATCATAAAATTACTTCACTTACCCACAAAACACATCTGCATGAGACTTGCAGAGACACATTTCTTTTCTCAATCTCTCTTTATTCAATTATTTAAACATTATCTGTATTAAATATATCAATTTGATAACATAGCACACAAGAATGGAAGAACATGAGAACAAGCTGTCTAGAGAAGATCGAAAGCAAAATTTATATCTTATTTCATTGTTCACTTTTTGAACTGGACATTCTTCCACGTTATGTGCACAGCTTGCAGATGTTGTTTTGTACACGCTTATATTAATCCTTTTTTTACACACATTCTTCTGGTCAGCACAAGGTAAATCCACGAGGAGACGAGCGGATGACACTAGCAGCAATTTCTTAATGCGAAACACATATTAACAATTTATATCAAGAGGGTTAAATTTTTAGCATAATTATTTTATAGCTGGATTAATTTTCTACATAATCTTTCAGGCTAATTTGGTGCAATTCTCATGCTGCTTCGCTCCTTCTTCTCCATCAAAAAAAGACGTCATTGCATGAGTATGAGATATGCAAGGTTCGCAGCCCCGCATACTCGAGCAGGCCGTAGTCACAGCAAAGATAAGAGAAAAACCTGTTTGGCGGGTATTTATCTGCACATGCAGTTCTACGATTCCGTTTAATGTTACGATAGTGTCCATGCTGATGAACTGCGTGGTGTGAGAAATTTCTATTCTCAATAGTTTCTAATAATAATAACAATAGGAAAAACTTTGGGAAGTCTTCCTTTATTATAGTATTCAGCATAGCATGTGGATGATATTCTCCAGTGCTTCGATTCAACTGGATTTCACTGAAGCCAAGCTGCAGCACATCTCGGTTATTTTAAGGATTCCATCTGAAACCATCTATTCCATCTGGAACATTAGATAGATCAGATAGAATGAGATAGATTCTAATGATGTTTTCCCTGAATAGGTTTAACTTGACTGCTGTTCAAATTGTTTAGATTTTATTGATCTTGGTTCTAAATATAATTATTTTCCTCAAATTATATTTTTTAATTGCATTTTATTTTAACTTTTATTATTTATTTATTTGTTATTCAAATATTATTATTTACATATATATTTTTATGAATTTTAATTACTCATTATTTGTTTATTTTTATTTGTCATATCTTATAACCTTCCAATAGGGCTCTAGTATTTTTAGTTTTACAAATAAAGCTTTTATTTTTTATAGCCTTTGTGTAAGGTGCAAAAGCATTTCCCTTTCACTTTCAAGTTCAGTTGTATGGAATTCTCATGTTCAATTCTAAGGAAGGGAAAGAAATCACCGGGAGTTTAATCAATATGATTGGCAAGTGTAATGTCACTGGATATCAAAAGCAGAAGCAACTAAAGCAGTGATGGCATAAACATGAGGACAAGTCATTCTCATGTTCAATTATGATAGACTTCATTGATATGTGTCAAAGACAATCTTGTACCCCAGCCAACATCATAAATCAGCTTTTAGCATTTCAGAAAAATTTGATTCAATTTTGCAAAATTCTCTGGCATATATTAATCAAAGGACAACTAGAATTATTATCCCCTTCAGCTGGCATTCTCTATATTTTGATATAATTTATTGTTTAGTCCAAAACATTTTCACTGAAAAGTTGTTGAAACATATTTGTTTTTGCATTACTTTTATAACTTAGTAACAAAATTGAATGCCCACTTGTACTTTTTTACATAATCTATTTTCACATTCAATAAAATCTCAAACATACTAAACATAGTGGCAAAAAAGAACTTAGTGAAAAAGAAAAGCTAATGAAGATGAATTTAGCACATTAGTTTAATTTAGAAAGGCTTTTTGGAATGGCATCTGGCTTATATAGGAAATACTAATAGTTAAGGAGTTTCTTCAATTTTTCATGAACTTTCAAGTGGCACCTGATATATTACTTGACTGAATTTTTAACTATCTTAATTTAGCTTTAACTAGTTCTCTGTATAGTCTTTTTGTAAGATTTAAGTAGTTTTCATATAGTTCTTCTTTTAACATTGCTAATGCATTAACTATTATTTATTACTAATTTTTATTTTATAAATGCATTTCATATTAGGAAGCAGTTGCTATTGGTTTTGAAACTGAAATAGCACTACTTGGTCATCCAGATGGTTACTGGAAAGAACTTTCTGAAATGTTAGAAAAAAAGAGAGATAAAATGGCTAAGTTTTTATCTGAAGTTGGAATGGCTCCTATTATGCCAGAGGGTGGTTACTTTATGATAGCAGACTTTTCTGCTTTAGGTAAGCTTAATTACATTGCTTGCTATATGGTTTTGAAAAATTACCTATTTTACATTATCACATTTTCACCATCCAGCTGAAAATTAATTTTTGTGTAAAATTCTTTCACTCTTACATTTTATGTATCTTGCACTTTTTCAGTTATGCTAACCCTCTCCTGAATTCCCCCCCCAAAAGCGCTTCAAAAATTGCATACTTTTTTATTACATATTTCAAATACATATCTATTAGAATGAAAATATATATGCAGATATTTATAACCAAGATTTTTTTTAATATAGATTTCCTCCATGAGAACAGGCTTTCATAAAAATCAGTTTTAAGAATAACTGTATAAAGACAAAAATTCTAAAAATAAATCTCATTCAAACTACAATTTGCTTTATAGAATGAAATGTAAAGTATGTATACTAATGAAAATATTCAATATTTACATAAATTACATTACAAATTTAAGTTTTATTATTATTATTATTATTATTTTAAATTTTATTGGATTAGGATGTATGTGGCTTGCAGAATGGTGAGCTGTTAGTCTCATACAGTTAGATCTTTCAGGTCTGTCATATATATCACCATCTGACTATTTTTTGGATACTTTGCTCAAACATTTGCATATGAAACTTCAGAAGCTTTCATTTTTGCAATGGGTTGTCCTTTTTTGTAAAGCAAATAAACATTCCTCAGAGATTGTGGATATCCTGTTTTCAGATTCATCACTATCTGGAAATGAATCTGAGAAATAACAATCTGTTTTGATATTGCTGTCTTCAGAATAACGAAAAGTACTTTCAATATCATAAATATCACCAGGAACATACATTCTGTCACTTGCTGAACATTTTCTGAAAGCCATATTCTGAATGTAAAAAAACGATAACTGTGAAAGCATTTTGCAAAATTGGTGAACTCCTTTCAAATATTGAAACTGAGCTGACAATAATGCCATCTGTTGATCAAAACACAATTCAAAGTTTAAATGTTGTAGAAAATGTATTATCAACAATTAAACTGTGGAAGAACAGGATGCACATTTTTAAACAGAGGGAAAAATTGCATACCCATGAAAATCGTAGGAATGAGCAGATTTTGTTACTCTCGTGTTATGGGATAAGCAGTCTGAGGGTTAATCCTTTGATTTTGTTATTGTGCTTGCTCATCAGAATTATACTGAATTATTATTGCAGCAACATGTAAAATCAGCTAACTGTTGCTTGTATCAAATCCCAAAGTAAAACTACCTGTCTCCATTTATCACCTATTATTCTAATGATAAATAGCATCATATGAATATTATAAACAAAAAGTAATCCATAAAAGTGTTTTATATTAGCACAATCATCAGACAAAAATGTCTTAAGAGGTATAAATATGTAGAAAATTTTTTAATACTGTGTAAGGTTCATCCTAAGTTTCTAGCAGTTAATTTTTTATTAAAGCTACTTTCCTGTTCTTCCTAATTTCAGCTGACAATTTCCTACCATAATGTATTTTTAGTATTACGTTTAATGCAAATGAGTAAGAATAGTATTTAAGTCGAAGTTCCACTGAATTCGAGAGAGAGCTTCAGAGTTACCGAATAGCACGCGTTCGCCTTTTTTTTTTGGCTACATCTCTCTAAGCTGTTACTATGCTCGGCCATATAACAGGCCCTTTGATAGCTTCGCTAGCTTATTCGATATTTAGGGGCCAACTACTTAGAATTTTGATAGCTTCAGCTCTATCTTTTTAGTTAAGCATTAGTTAAGTCTTATTTTTTATTACTTTAAGTTCAAGCCCAATGAATGAATGGCTTTGTTGTATGCCCTGAGAAAGAGACCATCGGTTAAACACTTGTTTTGAACAATAAAGGGTAATTAACCCTTCTCGAGATTCTGTTCTTTAATTAAAGCAATTAGTCACTTAGTTGTTCATTAGGTTCCTCTACATTTAGTTGTTAGATAAAATGGTGAAACCCCACAGCTGTTTTGAATTTTATGCTATTTTTAATATAGAAAGTAACACCTATCCCAAAAAATTCATATAAACGTTATTCTTTTTCCAAATATTTTATAGTAGTTAATGGTAAAGTATACTTACTATAGTTGACAGTTTTAAATTGTTGACAGCTTTAAATTGTTTTAAATTGTTGACAGCTTTAAATTGTTTTAAATTGTGGACAGTTTTATGACTGGGAATCTAAATTAACTGGATTTTTCTTTTGTAACCAATAGTATCCTGAAGTAAAATCTTAATGTATTTTCAATAATATTTGAATCCATTTAGAATATCCCTATTGACTATAAGGAATTTTGGACATTGCTTTTAAAATCTTTCTCTATAAATATTGTAGTTTTCAAAAATTTCATGCTTCATTTTATTCTATGAAATTTCAAGAAGTATTGAATAATTAATAATTCACTGTTGTTATAGGATCCAAAGTGAATATTGATACTGAAGAAGGTACTAAAGATTACAAGTTTGTAAAGTGGCTGTCAAAAACAAAAGTATGTCAGTGAAATATTTTACCTTTTTGGATTTATCGTTCTGTTTTTAATGTTTATAGCATTAATACTTATGCTTAAATGAATGTTGATGTTACATTTCATCTGTGTATTATTTTTAGTAACCTGATATTTATATCTTTTGTGAAATAGTGCTTAATTTTATTTGTAATGTTAATTTAGCACTTATGCAATTAAAGCAGTAATATTAGTGTATCTAAGAAAATAACTTGGAACTTTCACTTCTTAGATTTTGAAATTTTAGTTTATAATTTTCTTTGCACTTCCATGCTAAAATATTAATATCACTAAAACATTAATAAAAAATATATTAATTCAAGTATTTTAGTTGTACCATTGTACATTTAAAAAAAAATGAAGAAAAAAGGACAGTAAAAAAAGAATTGTTTTCAAAGCATGAGGGGAGTAAAAATAGATTTCTGAAATTTAAAACAAGACATAAATCCATTTACAACTTTAGGCATTTATAAGGGAAAGAGAATATCTTAAGAAAATATGGCAAATGTAATAAAATATTAAAATACAGCTGATGGACACTTTTTTTTATGAAAAAGTATGTTATCTATTATTATTTTTATTAATATTTTCAGTTAATTAAGACACAATAACATGCCGAATAAATACTAATTCAGAAGTCAAACAACAAAATAATATAACGCTGATTTTTGTTGTTTGACTTCTGAATTTTCAGTTAACTTTATTATTATTCTTTTATCAAGAAATTATCTTATTTATTATCATTATTATTTTTATTAATAAATTCACTGTTTATTATTCTCTTTTGAATCAGTATGAATATGGTTCTTGTGAACCATGGTTACCTGCATCTTAGAGTCATCATTAACAGGCTAATTTTTTTAACCTCTGTTTGCAGGGCCTTATAATATGTTATCTTCTGAGCCAATGGAAACATTGGTAACGAGTATTTTAAACAAATGCTACAGAGTACTTTTTCTAAATCTTAAAAGGAAACTGATAATAACATTAAAACAAAAATTTATAGATTTTGAGTTGCATTGGTATTTACATATTATTGTGACCGCAATAGAAGTTGCAAAATTTTTAGAATGAGCCAAACTCTGGCAAGCATGTATATTAGCATTCTTTAGCAAACATGCTCATAACAATCCCTCAGTTAAGCTACAGTGCCATTTTCGTATGCATTCTCTTTGTTGTACTCCAATTGTTAATTTTTACAGACAAATCTTTTGTCTTTAACTCAATCTTAAAATATCTCTTGTGTACTTCACTAAAATGAACAATGATGAGATGGGTTTGGTAGATGCCGAGTTTGTGGAATCCTGTTTTTTTTTTTTTTTTTTTTTAAGTGAAAAGAGATCACTATGTTCATGGAGAGAAGGACAGTGCTAAAAATGCAAAGAAAGATTTCGGAAAAAATATTTTAATTTTTTTAATGTTTCATGTAATTGTTATTTAATAATCAAAATTTGTACTTTAAAATGTTTTTTCTTTCAATATGTTGATAATGTTTGCCAACTTACAACTACTATCAATAGTTTGAAATTTTTTTTTTTTTTTTTTTTAATCTTGAAAATCATGAACTTGCAGCTGCTAAGTAATTTTTACTTTTGCATCCGTAAAAGACCACCAGTTTGTGCCTAAGTGATTGCATTAATACATAAGTACCAAAGCATATTTGTTTTAGAAGTATTTATGTTGTAAAAAGCACAAAAACATATCTTCTTAAACAAACAAATATGATATGTTTTTTTTTTTTTTTTTTTTTTTTTTTTGTGGGGGAACATAGCTTTTAAAAAACATTTGCATATAAAAGGAAATGAATCTTTTTAAAAATACATTAAAATTTAAATACAGCTGGCTAATATTTTATTCTATATATAAAAAGATAATTATTAATATTTTATTTATTAATGTTTTTCTTATATGTTACGGGGCACTGCGAGTACCACCTGTAAAAGACATCACATTTTACCACATATGCCAGAGACAGCGGCTTTTGGTATGAGTGGTAAAGATGTAAGGCTCTAGATCAAAAGGTCCTAGGTTCTAAACTCACTGGTAGTAGTAATCAGATGAATATGCACTCCACATGCGCCCTTTGTTGGCAAACATTGACATTAAAATATCAGACAGAAAAGACTGGGAACAATTATTCACATTACCAATTTTAGATGGCATGATGAGACCATAAGGTCAGCAACTAGAAGCTTCAAGACCTAAATGATCTCCACAGCAACATAAAAAGAACTTTATATATTTAAGAATTTAAAATACCTGTAATAGAAGAATTTCTATTTTAATCATTGCTGATTTGTTGTTACATAACCCTTTCATATAAATGTAGTGGGGGAAATGATGCTAAATAACAATTCCAACGTGTTTTCCACACCACAGAACATTTAATAAAGACAGACAGAAGAAGGTACAGATTAGATTAATCACAAGTGCCGTTTGATCCAAACATAATTCTGTATAGCTTTTGCCAGTCAAATCACAAAACCGATTAGTGCCTACTCCGCACTTGCTGATGTATTATACAGTCAATTTACCAACCTTCGCTTGGAAAACAACAGTTCCTTATTCTTTCTACACCTTCACGTGTAGACAGACATCTCACCACCTTCATGTGGGATAGCAGAAGAAAGTCTTTGTCATACTCCTCTTTCACCTCGCTGCTGGCGCATCGGTGAGGCCCTCTGGTGGTTGTGTCACACTTACAGATACTACAGCTCGTCTGTCCTGACACTTTTTCGTCCTCGAAAACATGGATCAGCAACACTGGAACATCAAGACAACACCTGAAAATAAATTTAAAAAAAAAAAAGAAAAGAAAAAAAAAAAAAAAAAAGAAAGAAGTGCAGAAGAACCACACATAGTTCTATATAGTAGAAGTCCACGGCTTCATGAGATCAGCTGCTGTAGTGGTACATACAGGACCTTCATGGTGTCCCAATTTTTCCACCTGGTAACAATCTTTGCCTTTCCTCGCTGTTACACGATATGGACCAAAGAACTTTGTCCTTAACTTTAGACCACCTCCATACTGCGTTCTTCGTATGGCAATTAAGTCGTTCACATTGTATACTTGTGCCTCTTTTCTCTTCTTGTTGTATGTTTTTCTATTCTTTTCCTGAATTTTTAGAATGTTTTTCCTTGCTTCCTCTCTCATATCTTCTCGATCTTTCATCATAATATTTCTTTCTTCTTCGTGGTGTCAAATGGAGAACTCTTTGTGCTTCTGCTCTTAGTACTGTTTAAGATCCTTTGTACATCTCCAACATATTTGTACCATTTGGTTGGATCACCTGTGGATAATTTGGATAGGACGGAATCAGAGTGAGATGATCCTTCCACTTGTCCATTTCCTCTAGGAACGCCTGTAGTGTAAATATGTGCTGGATCTTTCTCTTGACTACAGTAATCTTCAAAGTCTTAGAGTAAACGGTGTACCTTTATCACTTATAATTCTCAAAGGACTACCGAAAGTTGATTGTTGCAGTTTCAGCTTCTTCAATGCCTCTTGAGCTGATGTAGACTTTACTGGATAGAGCCGCACGAACTTTGTGAATGCATCAACCACGGTTAAGATGTGATTCTAATTCTTATTTGTTGAAGGTAATGGTCCTATAAAATCGATATGAAAAGTGCTCAAAGGGATACTATCTTTTGATATGGGATTCAGCAATCCTTCACTCTTACCTCGTTTTCTGTCGCACAAAATACATTCTGCACAATTTGAAATGACTTGCTCAATTCATTTTCTAAGGTTAGGAATATAAATGTCGATTTTCAGCAGATCTTCCATTTTAGACACTACGAAATGTCCCTTATTGTGGATACTACGTATGATTTCTAGTTCTAATGCTTCGGGTACAACAAGTAACTCATGACCACTGTCGAACTTGTATAATACTCCATTTTTCACTAGAAAATCTTTCTTTATCCTATGCTCGACTAAGGATTTTAGCAACTGGAGACGCTCATCACTCCTTTGCGCAGCTGCAATTTTGGCTGTAACTTCTCCCTGAGAACAAGTAACCATCATAACAGCGTTTCTACTTAATGAATCCACATTCATTTGTTGCCTAGATCTGTGAACAATTTCATAGTCAAATTCTTCTAGAAGTAACGCCCATCTCGCGACTTTAGGAGTTAGATTTTTCTTAAACATGGTCTTCTGGAAAGCAATCGCAATCCGGAACTATCCTGACCTTAAGATCCTAAAAGGTATTCCTGAATTTCTTTAGAGCTTCTACTATGCTAAAACTTCAAGCTCATATACTAGATAGCTTCTCTTGTTGGAGACTAGTTTTTTTTACTCATGAAGTAAATGGGTGTAACTGTCCATCATCTGACTTTTGTAGCAATGCAGCGTCGAAACCATGACTGCTTGTATCTGTATTCAATTCTAATGGTGCTCCTTGTTTAAAAATATGAAGAACCGGACGGTATATAAAAGTTCTTTCAATTTATTAATGCATCTTTTTGTTCAGGCCCAAATTTTGAATTCTGCTCCGTTACGAAGAAGTCTTCAGTGTTTTGCTATTTTTATAATTAGCAATAAATTTCCTAAAATACCCAGTAAGGCCCAAGAAACTTTGAATCTGCTTAGGTTTTGGGTTCTGGAAAATTTTGAACAGCCCTGGGTTTTTTCAGTAGAGGGGCGAATTGTACCATCCTCAGTAACATACCAAAGAAATTATATTTTTCTTTTCAAAAACTGGCATTTCTTAAAATTGATTTCTAAACCGTATTCTTTGGCTACTTCTAAAACGCGTTTCAACTTTTCTAAACCTTCTTTCTCATTTCGTGCTGAAATAATAAAATCGTCCATGTAAGTAACAACAGTGTCATCCCAAATTAAATTTCTAAACATATTAAAAATAAATCTTTGGAACACACTAGGGGACGTGCATAAACCAAAATATGCTTTTAGAAATTCATACAAGCCTGCATGAGTAATTAATGCCAAATATTTAGTACAGTTTTCCTTCACTGGAACATTAAAAAAACCATTTTTTAAGTCTAATGTCGAAAAAACCTTTGCTTCACCCAAACGATCTAAAACCTCTTCTACTTGTGCCATGGGAAAAGAATCCTTAACTATTTTTTTATTTAATTGCCTGAAATCAAGACAGATTCGTGTCTTGCCCAATTTTTTCCTACACAAAACAATTGGCGAAGCATATTCGGAACATGGCGGCTTTATAATCCCATCCTTTAACCATTCATCTATTTGATTATCAACAATTTTTTGATCAGCAAAGGAATTCTCCTCGAACGCTGAGAAACTGGAATTTCATCTTTTAATATTACTTTCATTTTTAAGTCTGCACTGCGCGGCTTTTCTCATTTAACGGTTTATACTCATTAATAAGATTGGAAACAGTATTGCGTAATCCTTCATTCTTTAATGTGTGATAAATCTGTTTCGCTGTCTCCCTCAATGGCTGCAGAAATAAAAGACAAGAAAATTCCTTTCCGAAGAGACGGAATCATTTTCATATTGCGTAATCATCACCTGGTCACGGAACAGATGTCCATTTTTAACAGGAAGGGGGGGTTAAAATACAGTCTGTTATCAAGCTTCATAAACCATCGCTGCTTCTAGTATCTTTTTGTTTTTTGCTTTCGCGTAAAGAAAAAATAAACTTAGCCGTTTCTGCTTTAACCCACGTGACCAAACGAACTTTTGAGCTCTATACATCCACTTCATAATTTATTCGGAAAAGGGATTTCTTTACAACTATCAATTCACTTCCAGAATCTATTAACATTTTACTTCTTACCATCAATCAACGTTCATAATTCTAACTTATTTCTAGCTTCATTATCCGATTCAATCTTTAACGGAGATACCTTTTTTAGAGACGAACTTTCCTCCTTTTCTACCCGTTTGGGACAATTTCTAGCAAAATGAAATAATTCCCCTTTACTCCCACATACATAGCAAATACGTTCTGGTTTACTACTACCCTGATTTACAGTTCTAAGCTTTTACTATTAAATCACTTTTCTTTAAATTATTTAAGAAACACATTTTAAAAATGAAACAAAAGTATCACTATCTTCAAGAAAGAAATAAAGCAAAGTTTTCACAGTACCTTCTCTGAAGTATTCAAATATCAAGTATCCAAATATCCTGGCTGAGTCCCCAGATTTTTTGTAGCGAGGGAATTAAAGATGCTAAATAACAATTCCAACGTGTTTTCCACACCACAGAACATTTAATAAAGACAAACAGAAGAAGGTACAGATTAGATTAATCACAAGTGCCGTTTGATCCAAACAGGATTCCGCATAGCTTTTGCCAGTCTTATCACAAAACCGATTAGTGCCTACTCGCACTTGCTGAAGTATTATACAGTCAATTTACCACCTTCGCATGGAAAACTACAGTTCCTTATTCTACACCTTCACATGTAGACACATCCCACCCACCTTCATGTGGATAGCAAAGAAAGTCTTTGCTCTCCTCTTTCACCTCGCTGCTGGCGCATCGGTGAGGCCCTCTGGTGGTTGTGTCACACTTACAGATACTACATATATAAGCCATTAACAGTTAAGAGTAGTGAAAACTGCTAGCAAACCCAGGTTTTAATTGCAAGAAAGTAAGCTTGCTGCTTGCATTTAACTGAGTCTTATCTATGTTACACATGGAAGAAACTACAAAACCCCCCATGCAGCTTCCCTGTTTACCTAGACTTGAACCTAGATTTAACTACCAGTGTACAATTGTTTTACCCCTCGGCCATTTGCATGGCTGTTTTATGATTTCCCTCATGTATAATATAATACAAGACAACTCCTTCTGAAAATTCCTTACATAGAGGAAGTGTGCCTTAAGAATGCTTTTTAAGGAGATAACCTCTGTTTACTTTGCTGTAGTAAAATAAACAAACAATAAATGTTTTATGTAATTACAAATTAGAATCAATAGATTAAGTTATTTAATTAGCAATGACTTTTTTTTCAGTTTATTAAGCTAATGTCTAATTTTGCATGCTTTGAAAATATATCATGGTTAAATGTCTAATATTCATTATGTGATATGCTGAAACAATTTTACAGATCTCTTAAAATTCAAGACTTACTGGTTAATAGTTTGGGATAGCCAGCAACATATAAAGCTGAATATTTTTAACCTTTTTTGTATAGTAAAATAATTAATATAAAGTATATTAATAGTAAATAATTAATATTAATGGAATATCATAGAATATATAAACAGTCTGAAGTTTCCCGATTAACATTTTTGCTGTTGGCCAAGTGAAGTTGTATTGATAGTTAATGTTGTGTTATAGGAATAGATTGTACCCATATGCCCACTTACTTATTACAAGAAGTATGATTTAAAAGAGGTAACAAAAGATTATTATGTGTACCATTACTAAGCCTTTAAGCATAGAATTTTATTACAACATGCCAGTGCATGATGATGCCAGTGCACGAGGGGTAAAATTACTTCTGCCGTATTGCTATGCCATATTACCCACTGACACATGGCATTTTAAAAGTGGAGTAAAATAAGTAACAATATGCATTATTTTGGTATGAAACTATATCACAAGCAAATATATATATTGCAAATGAATTTATTACAAGATAGTTACTGTAATATTGTTCTAAACTATATATTTCAGAATGTTTTTCATGTATGATCTTTGCATGATATGAAACTGCACGATATGTTTCCATTCCAAACCACATACATTTACAACTAGTTTCTGACCTTCACTCCACGCCAATACCAGCATATATATTTGAAACATAATGCTGATTGAACTTAAAAATAAACAATGAGATGTTGCTTTTACAGTGCCAGTGTGTGAAACACCTGAAGTATCACCCCACACCACACGCAAGAGCATCATTGGCTCTTCAGCATTAACTCCAGTTATGTGCCAGTGTGTGATCAGCATTGAATGTGTTAAATGCAACATTGTTTACTCTATAATATGTGGCATATTAATTGATTACTGATTATTAGTTGATCTTGCAATGATTGTATAAAATATATCAAATAAAAACTCGCTAACAATTGTATCCTTGAGCATATGTGTTTATGTCTTTAGGTTCATGAACATACATTGATGAGGTAATGAAAATATGAACCAGTTTTTGCTAGAATAATCTCCATGGAATGAAAATAGTGTTAGGAAGACAGATATTCTTGACTGCATTGTTATAATAAATTAGTTAAAATAATGGATGTTGATCAATAGTTGGAATAGCAGTCATTCTATAACTACAAAAATGAATGTAGTCATTACACATTAGTATAAAAACTTATGCTCATCCTTAGAAGATATTTACTTTAAGTAGATTACAATTTCTGAGCTTTTTTCTCCATGTACATATATCTTTGTGAAATGGGATAAAAAATGCTGATTTGCGTTTTCTATAACATTACATGTTTAGTGATCATAGAATGAAATTTTTTTTTTCTTCTCCTAGAAACTTCAAGGAATCCCGCCAAGTGCCTTTTATTGCAATGAAGATAAACATTTAGCACAAAATCTAATTAGATTCTGTTTTATAAAGGTGAGTTTTAAAAGTTTTGTACAAATTCAACTGCTTTTCTAAAACCTGTGTCAAGTTTTTTTTCTTTTTTTTTTTTTTTTTTTTTTTTTTTTTTTAATTCTAATTTGAACTCTCATGAATCATCATAAAATCTTAAAAATGTCTAAATTTTTTATTAGTAGTTTATTTTGCAGATAAATGTATTGAGTTGTTTGCTTATGTTATGGGGCTATTTTTAATCATTTAATATATTTCAATTTATTATAAGTTATTAATGTGTAATTTATTTTATGTCATTTTTCATATATACCTGGCTGATCAGGAAATAACAAAATAAAACCTACTAAATTTTTAAAAAAATCTTGAGTTAAATTTTATCAATGCTAGTTTAAAAGTAGTCCTTCCTGCATTTATGCAGTAGTTGTTTTATATTTAGTAATAATGTTACAGTGGAGCTGTCTAAGTCTTGTTTGAAATGTGCTTAGCTTTGCTGCTCGCAGAGACAAAACATTAGCCACCCAAAAGGTATAATGACTAACTAATAATGCTAATTATCATATGAAAAGGCCTGGGTTTGAATCTCAGAGAAGGCATGGATGTTTGTAAAATATGTAGTGTTTGTGCAGCATGGAAGCACTCAAAGTATACAACAAGCTGAAAGTCCTCTTGAGTAATATGATGGCAGGGAAAGAGGGGTGGAAGATCCTCAAATCCAACCCCTAGGGTGCTTCAAAATTTTAAGTGGGAAAAATTGTAGTGTCACCTGTATAGAGCTTAAGGATCATGCCAATGATGGATGAAATGTTGCACTCCGTGCCTTAATAAAATTTGTGCTCTTGTTCTGATTAGGTTGGACAAGCGAGTTCTGATTAGGTTGGACAAGCAAACCACAGCAACAAATATGATCCTTCACTTTAGATTTCAGCCTTTGATAAAAGCCCTCAGACACCACATCTTTGAGTAAAAGGATGATACCCACTGGGAATTTTGTTTGTGTCAAAATTTATTGCTTCTGTGGGAACTGTAAATCATACACTGTCATGATGAAGCAGAAGATTATATTTTTGAATGAGTTCTTTTGTCATAAATATCCTCTTTTAAGTGTACTTCAAAGTGTCACAATAAAACAATTTATTGATTGTCTGACTTCGAAAACTGAATTTTTAATTCAGCATTATCCTTTCAGATTAAAGAAAATTATGAATACAGTTCTCCCCCCTTTTTTTTCATTCCTAGCTTTAATTCTCATTCCTTTTCATGGAGAACTTGAGATCTCTCATTTTGGGCTTGCTTCATCTCAAAGTTTATGAATCACCCTTTATTATGGTTTGAGACATTGACTGTAGAGAGCAGTCAAGCTATACTCCACAGACGCTGGCCAGTCTTCAATTAAAAGATTATGATGGATAATTTCGGTCATTGTGTAAGACCTGATAGTAAAGCAAAGTGTGGACGAGGATTGTTTTGAAGAGTGATGAGACCAGACTTAATTCAAATATGTCTTAATTTTGTTTACCATGTCTGGGTTGTTTTCAATCAGCATGGTACAATAAGGTGACTTTTATTGTTCTGAAGCTTAAATGATAAAGCTTGAGCAAAATTAATTTTTCATATGATAGACTTTTAATGTTGGTTACATTTCTAGTTCTTTTAAACAGCCAATGCAGTTTGTAATGAATTGCATAAATCTGATGTTCATTTAAAGTAATGAAGCATTTTAAGTCTTCATCTTTTGTTTAATTTCTAAAAATGTATGATTTTAGAATATGTAATAAAGAATTTTATATGTATTTTACATTTTAAAACACTGATTGTTTTATACTGTTTTTAGTGTTAATACCCACTTTTTCTTTAACTTTTAGGAAGATTCAACTCTTGAACAAGCTGAAAAAATAATAAATGATTTAAAGAAATCATTATCTGCATGATTTTGTAAATATTGTATCATAGTATGCAATATATGTTATGATTATATACTATTTTGGAAAATGGTCTGTTTCTAATAAAGTTTATTTTATTAAATTAATACATGACTGCATACAATTCTAAACCCATTTACTTATACATACAAATATATACAATAATGGTTCTAATAATAAAATAAATAAAACAAGCTCAAAACAATGTTAATTTAAAAAAATACGGTAACATTCTCAGTATTTATTTCTGTTGCACACATAAAGGTTTGTTGTTAAAGTTTATGTATGATTTGATAAGTGAAAGAAGCAAAATTTTATTAAAAAACAAATATAAACTGATTATTTTTTACTGTGGTGAGGAATTTTTAACCATTGTCTTTAAAATGAAAATTTTAGTAATAATATCGATGTAGTTTGGACCTTAAAAAAGTGGATTTCAATTAAAATGAATGGCTATTTTTTCTTAGTATTAAAATGATGTATTGTATTTGGGGTTTAAATGTATTACATTCCTCTGCATTATTAATAAAAATGTAATTTTATATATGGGGAAATTTTGAAATTAGTAATTAATAAAATACAGCTTTCATTATGTATTGATTTTGCAAGATAAGGTAACCATTCCATGCAAATCCATTTATTTTTTAGGACTAGCAAGTTCTTTAAACTATACTGAGCATAATTTATTTTAAACTAATACCAAATACTGACTGAATTTTACCAGTTTTTATTTTTTCTTTGTTAATGTTTACCAGTTTTTATTTTTTCTTTGTTTATTTTTTCTTTTGTATCTGATAGGTAAGAGGTATAAGTTTTTATGTTGATATATTAAAGGACTTGCAAAACGTCTATCAATTTTTTTTAAAATTTTGATATTTAATTTATCAGAGTCTTAAATATTTGGCATATCCTTTTTTATTAATTTCTAGAATGTTAATGATGTTTTATGCGGTGTTAAATCTGTGTAATTTCAATAACATGATGAGAAATGACAGATTTGTAATGTTTATACACTATCATTAAATGATTAATAATTTAGTTGCACTGAAGTCATGATATATACTCCTCTAAGATCTCAAGTTTTGGTATTACAATGCAAATACTTTTGTTTATGATTGCATATGAAAGGAGAGCATATGAAATATATATATCGCAACAAATTAATGCATCTTTTTAAGCAATACCTACATTTAATGTGTGTCACTGTGAATGTCCAACTTTACTGCCATGTTCATCTTTTGGCAGTAAATGGAATGTTTATCTCTTTCATACATGTTTTCTTGGCACCAAACCAAATGTCTTCCCCAGTAAGAATTGGCCTTTATCCGAGAAGTTAATTGTGCCCATGATTTGAGAGATTTTATAGATTTCTAATGGTCTGCAAAAAAGACCAATCAGTGTTAATAATAATAACTTTTCTAGCAATCATTCTTGCTAGCATGGTTGAAGATTCTTACAACAAAGATCAACTGAGAGTTTAGTATCATTCTTAGCCCCGTGAGGTTCACATGCATGGTCTCTTCGGAACCACGGGACTGTCGTGTCCTTGCCAAGTATTAAACATGCATCTGATCTTGTCTGAGCTCTGAGGTCCTCGCTACTGAACTGTAATAAAAGAAGCATTTGTTATTTTAGATGTAAGTCATAACTTTTAATGTTAATAGAATTGTACTTTTTATACATTACTGCATAAATTTAATTACAATGGCATCATATATATATATATATTATATCACATATTCTATTTCTTTGAAATTATAATATTGCTGACTCGTTGTTTACCAGCTTTCCATATTATTTTTTAATTTCATTTCTTTTATGAAGAAAGTATTAAATCCATTGAAAAGGGGTTACTCACAGAACAATGAAAATCATGATTGAGAAATTCATACAAATAAAGAAATTATACAGACATATAGATTTCCACAGTAATTCTATAATATGGCAATATATAGTAATATTAAAAGATTCTTATGGATTTTAAGGAGGCTGTGATATTGTGTACTGTAATGTCTTAACATACAAAATATTGTTTCATAAAAAAATGTAACTTATTTTTAAAGTTGATGATTATGCAGACTGACAAAAATGATGAAACTGATTTTTTAATATAATAAACAAAATTAGTAAAGCATCTGTAGTTTCAGGCATGAAGAAAAAATCCAAATGGTTCCATGATTTTTTTTTTTTTTTTTTTTTTTTTTTTTTTAGATATTCCGAGAAGTGATGCGGTTAAATTTTGATCAACTGAGATTGGGAAAAAATTTGAGACTTTATGCAAATTATGCTTGGAAATCATCTAAAATTCCACACAGATCTGCATATATTTAAAAAAAAAAAAAAAAAAAAAAAAAAACAAGATGCAAAATTACTGTATGCATCAATTTAATTTAAAAAGTCAAATTTTTAATCATACATTTGTATAAGAAAAAGGTGCATTTAGTCACATGAAAGCATATGGTTCTGATTGATTGATAAAATACATGTACTGCTACACTATTAAGGATGCAACACTGCCTGTTCCTCCATCTTAAATCTCTATATTAGGTGGAAATCAGACAAAAAGTCACTTTGGATAGCTCAAAGACAATCATTTCCTGCCTTCATCAGTAAGTCCAATACTTACCTTACACCAGACTCTAAAAATTCTTTCTTTATCCACTGCTGAGCTGGTCTACGAGAGTCACAACTCCCAGCAAATAGAGATCATGATAAGCTGCAACTATATTAACCTAAAAATTTGACTGGTCACTTTGCTACCCACAAGCAGTACATGGGCTACCTATCACTGGAGGAATTACACAACATGGGCAGCATGCATGGAGCTGCTGAAATGACTGAGTATTTAAACAGAATACTTTGTGGGCTCCGAAGCATGCACTGAGGTACTTATAACATCAGCTGAAGGATTTATACCCCCTCGGCCTGCAGAAAGTTGGGATGATACTCTTTCCGCACAGCTCATGGGAAACTCAAGGCTCATTGTTTTTAGCCCACAGTGCCGAGACTGCCAAAATTTAGATCACTGCTAGTACAATAAACGACTGCCCATAGGAGGATGTGGTTTTGATGGAGTATGAGACTGTATATATGTAAGATTTACTTCAAAGTAATAATGAAAGCTAAGAAAGAATTAGTAACCATATCTTTCATTTTAGCAACAGTAATATTGTGAGGAAACAATCACTTTCTAAAAAAATATATCTATAAAATATTTGAAAGCACAGAATAAAAATATGCCTCATCAAAACAGTTGAGTTTTGCTTTGCTTCAAATAAAAGTGCAGTTTCTTGGTAAGAGACGTTAAAGTTTCAGATATTGAGATTCGAGATTAAAAACTCAAATTATTGCGCTGATTTTTTCATTTGAATTCTTCTATTTCTAATCTAGAAAACATAAGTGTTTTAACTCAGAAATTTGAAAAATTAGTTTTATAGATGTTCAGCAGAAGCATTCACAGCAAAATATCAGGGGTGATTACCAATGCCACATACAAAATTTTTAGGAGAGAATATAACATTCCATACTTATTTATCTTATGTATGGATTTAGTGTATTCATTCTTAAAATAATAATCATAGTTTTACATTTGCTTTAAATGAGAAATATTCTGGACAGATGTAAAATAATTTAGATCAAATATATCTTGACAAATGATAATGAAAACTTGAATTTTTTAATTATGTTGTTTATTTACTAATTTTGTTTGTATCTTTTCAGTTGCAGTGCAACTAGCCTGTAAGTGTAATTTCACAGGTCCAGCTAGTAATTAATAATAACTGCGATAAAAAACTTTGCTTTTAATTAGTTTGTTAATCAATAACAGACAGATTAAATTTGGAAGGAAAATTGAATATCAAAAGTACACTTTGCCAGATGGCAACAAACTGCTGCATGATAGTTAAAAATATTTTACATTGAGCAGTGGCAACACATTTTTTTTAAATAGCTGAGTTTATTTATTATTAGCCCAAAGGGGCATTATCCAGAAGGGCAACTAGTCTAGAAACTGCATTTTGCATTAAATCATTTAAATAAGATGGATCACTTTTCAGATTGTGGCCACCAAATATAATCGTCCTGGATTATATTTAAAAATAACTAAATAATGAAAAATCTGCATGAATGTGTGTGTGTTTCTCGTATTGTTAAAAAACAAAGACACCTAGAGCCATCAAATTTTGAATAATAATAGTCCTCCACCTGAATATAGGGCATCTGGAAGCCCAACTTGGAATTTGTTTTATTGTTTGTTTTATATTTTGTAAAACTTTGACGAATTTTTGATTAAAAAACTGAACAACTTCAAAGCGAGCAGTGGCAACACTGTAGGGAATAAAACATTTTTATCTCCAGGGCGTGAGACTGTCTATCAGAAATTCCGTAACTATTTTTAGCCCAAAGTGACGTTAGTCCAAATGCTCTCGAAGCGTGTTTGTCTGTGTAAATAATAATTTAAAAAAAAAGGCCGATTGTTGGGCGTATTATAAAATTTGCAAGTTTTCGTGTTTTTTAATTTTCTTTCCTATTCCCTCATTTATATATATATATTATTACTATTAAATCTGAAAGATAGATAGATACCTTTCACCTTGCTGTGTGACAACACATTTCTTTCTAATCACCGAATTTTCAGATTAAAATTGAAATATAAATATCTTGCACTTTGCAGAGTGGCAACACATTACTTTTTAACCTCCGATTTTGGTAAATAGAAATTTATTAAATTTGCACAAAATATGTAATAAATCAAAACAAATTCAGAATTACCACTTTGAATTGCATATGTTTGGATGCAGAAGTTCTTGTGTTCAAAATTGGATAGTTGTGGGTGCCGCAAAGAACATACATGCAGGTTCTATATTTATAATAGAAAAGAGATATATGTATTTTTAAGAACTATGTTCTTAATTCTAAAGAAGGTGGTCTTCCGTAATTGGGGCTAAATTGCGCTGCTTGGTCAGTCTACGGGATAACACGTAAGTAGCCAGAAACATAAACATTTATTTTCACAGCATTTTAATTGGGAAAAGCTAACTTGAAACCTGGTCGAACTACTTGTGTTCAGTGACTTTACTCTTCGATGCTGGTGCGCCTATTTTTGCTGTTGAAGAAGACGGCCCTGGGTCTAATCGGCCGCAAAATCGACAATTCAAAATTTACACCGAACTAGAGTTGCTTTTTCTTAGCCCAAAAGGGCTATTAGTCTCAAAACGGCATTTTGTGGCATTTCACTTTTTAAATTGCTGCCACCAAATATCGCCCTGTATTATATTTACAGAAATTAAATCATGAAGAATCTGCATGAATTTATGTATCTTTCTCGCACTGTGAAAATCGAGGGTACCTACAGCCATCGAATTTTAAATAACGTGATCATCCAGTCGGACCTGGACGCGCGAATTTTGAATTTCGAATTTGTTTTATAATCTATTTCATATTTTGTGAAACTTTAATGAATTTTTGATTAACAAATGGTGCGATTTCAAAGTGAGCAATGGCAACACTGTTCGGGAAAAAAACACTATCTTCAGCGCGCGAGACTGTCTATCGAAAACTCTAAAGGCAGGCTGTTTTTAAATATTTTTACCCAAATGTTTTCGAAACGTATATGTGTATGTGAATGAAGAAAAAAGCCCCTTTGGGCGAATTATAAAATCTGAAAACTTGCAGCAGAGTTTTTGTTTTGTTTTGTTAATTATTCTATAATATTTTGATCATATTAGCCGAATTGTAAGTGAATTATCTTCCATGTTTTCATATGCAAACAGGCAAGATTTCTTCAGATGGTACAATATCCGAATTAAGCGGCGTTTGCTATATTAATTTTTATAATTTTCCTTAAAAAATATATTATCAGTACTACGAGTAGAAATGTGCAGATAAATAAGATTAGGAAACCGTACAAAAAAAAAAAAAAAAAAAAAAAAAAATTACGCTATGAATGAAATGCAATTCGGATCATTCAATAGTTTATAAGTCATATTAAATTAGTTTTATTCTGAATTTAAAACCTCAGATAAGGCATGTAGTAAAAATAAGGTTAGTAACACCGTTTTGAAGCTAAACCGTTAAAGTTACGGGAAGCCAGTTAAAGATGTCATTAATCGCCTTAGCTGAATGAAATTCTAAAACAGTTTTAAGAGGCTGAAAGGGAATTTTTTATGACAATGAACTTTGAAGAAAAGATATAACTTAATGCGATTAAAAACAAACGCATATTATTTATAATTCTATTCCTAGTCACAATTTATTTTTCAACCCAAAATTCCGTCATTTGTGTCATATAGACATCATTAATTTGTGGATCGTTAAATGCTAAGGACTGTTTTTTTTTAGTAAACTGTGTTGTTTTTTCTCAGATGAATTTCAACTGACAACATGGAAAAAGTTCTCATGTAACTTCCTTTCTCACATTACCGATGCTTTTTCATTTTGGAAGAAGACTCACGTCATATATTATTGTTCGTTAAGATAAGTTTTATGTTTTATTATTTAGTAAATGATAGTAATAAAATAACTCGTAAAAGAAGGGAAAGTTTATTGGTAACGTCGTTACGATGCAGCCCACTGGTCAGCTGGAGCTCACTGAGATGTTTTTTCCG